CACCAACGCTGCCAACTTTTGGGCGGCGGATGGCTCAACGCCGCCAAGTCCCGCCTCGGAGCTCGCCAATCCTCTGTCGTATCCCATGTCATCGCACGGTTCCGCGTCAAGACTGCGTCGCGCCAGTGCACACATGCGAGACAGAAGCGGCATCAGTGCCGCGACTGACGCCACTCCACAGGGAACAGCGGCATCAACAAGCCTTTCGGTCTTTCCGAATCTACCTCCGCCTACGAACTCTACGCAGAAGGCAGACGACAGGCAGCTCAGGCTGCTGGGCTGGGTTCGATGCCAGAGAGGCGGAAGCTTTGCGGTGGGAGCAAGGAGCATTCTCGTCGGTGTCGGCCGCGCGCAGCGAAGCTCGAGTCAGAGCCGGTGGGAGTGGTGGTCGCTGGATTTGCGGGAAGAGCTTGTTTTGGGACGTGGTGGCGAATTGCTAGTGTCACGACAGCCCTTGCTTCTGCGATCAGATGAGATCGCTTCGCCGCCATCACGACCATCACTGCAACGCCATCAAATTGGGAGACGATCCCAAGGCTCGCTTGACGATGCCCTCTCCTTTTCGCGCCTGCATCCGGTGCATGGGTTTGCTACGCCTCAACGCGACCAAATCGCGCTGCTGTTTGGCTTTGGAGGCTCCATCGGCTTGTTCCGCGCCAAGTCAACTTTGAAGTGATCCCATTCCACACATTCCCATCCAAAGACTCGTATTTGCATGTATTCATTCTGTATTTTTAACAGCTCCCTCTCTAACGCACTTGACACTCGTAAGGAACCGCAGGTCTTTCCTGTTCCTTTTTGGTTTGAACGCTGGTATTGTTGGGCTTTCAGAAGCATCGGTAAACTCGTTGTGAGTGAGGAAGGTTTGGAAGACCGGCGATCTAGAGTGGGATCCGGCAATCTCTGGGTTCAGGATCAAGAGCAAACTCTAACCAGGTGAACCCTGGCTTGCTGGTCGCGTGGAGCCCACATTGCCCATCATCTTGACTTTGCGCCTTGTAGCATGCCGATCTACCCCGCGGGGCTTAGTATGGGGTCCGAAGCACAACACCTGCATCTCGAGGAGCTCGGCAGACAGCTCAAACAACTCTGAGAGGATGGCCCGGAAGGACTCCGGACCGTGTTCGGAAAAGGGCAAAAATGTGCTATGTTAGACTGAAAAGAAAAGAAAGAGTTGATCGACAGACCCAACGCTGCAGGCAGCTGTCTTATCGATCGATCTCATCATTATGCATTGGCAACTTCAAGAGGGACAGGACAGGGCAGGATCTCCGGACCGGTTATTCTCTCTCCCTCTCTCACACGCACAGTACACCCACGCTAGAATTTGGAGAGAAAAAAAAAGAAAAAGCGTCATACTTTTGATTTTTCTTTTGGAATTTCGTCGAAGGATGGCATGGCATGGGCACGGACGCACCCTTTTTTCAACAGCATCATCAGGAGCAATCTGACATTGTGTCGCGCATATCGGAGATCTGTGATTGTAGTTAGCCATCCAATATGTTGTTCATTCAGAGAAGCGATCGTGATCTTCCTTTGACTGTTTAGAACATCTTCAAGAGCCTGCTCTGGAAGGCATCGCGGGACACCTCGCGGCAAGCAAAAGAAGAGAGAGAGAAAAGTCAGCGCGGTTTGCGTCCGGTCATCTTTTTGGGGACGCGAAAGAGACGTCAGAACATACCGTAAAGCTAGAAGAGTGCGTTGCTGCGTCACAGTGCTGTTTGGCCAGGGGAGTGATTATCAACAAGCTAGAGATCACCCCGTGGAAATTTCCCTCAGAGTCAGTTTGCAGTGGAGGGTTGTCGGTAAAATGAAGCTTGTGACAAGCAACTGCAGACCACCTCTTTGGTTTTCATTTCTTTTTTTTTTTTTTTCTTTTCTTTTTTTTTGGTTTCGGATTGACAAGATGTGCTGTGCTCAACGCGCACGGTTGCAGTCTGCGTCTGCAATTGAGCGTGCGATCGGCTGCTTTCCTCTCTGTCTTTCTCCCACTCTCTGTGTTGGCTTTGACTCGAAATCGATCTCGGCGGACGGACCTGAGATGTGTGCTCACCTCGCAGTTCGTCCGTGCACTTGGCGAGTTGCGCGGGTTGGGCGCACATCTGCTCTCTCTCTCTCTCCCCCCTCCCTCGCTCCTGCCTAGAAACACACTCTCGGCTCCACTTTGTCAGTCAACTCCTCAGACTGAACCTTAGCGTGGCAGTCTGTCAGCCTCGCTCGCAGCTTCGGTCCGCTTTCTTCTCGCTACCCAACACTTCCTCCCTCTCTTGCTGCTTTACACCATCCATCTTACTTCGTCACCGAAGCAACTTTTCTTCCTCTTCAACCACATCATCCCATCCATCCTCTGCCTTTTGCTCTTTAGCAGTTGCAAGGATTCTCTCTACAGCACGGACCCGTATCTCCTCTCTCGCCGCCCAGCTCAGTCCACGCAAGATGTCGTCCCAAGCTGTGTAAGTTTTCTGCTCTGCTCGGGTTGTCAAGCTCGATCGTTAACAGCTCTTCACGAGACAATTTGGGAGAAAGGCTGCACAGATCATCTTTGCTGACACTTTGCGCACAACATCGCCATGCCTCGCTTGATTCTAACAGTGCCGATATCGGCCTCATCGGCCTTGCCGTCATGGGTCAGAACTTGATCCTCAACATGAACGGTGAGTATCTACCTCAATGCTCGAAAGCTGTTGTGCCAAGTGCACTCGCTTCGACACTTTGATGGTGCTGCCTTTTTGAGAGCGACAACACTGATTCTAAGCACATTGCTCTTCTTCTTCTTCTTCTTCCTCCTCCTCCTCCTCCTCCTCGCCTCATTGAAAACCACAGACAAGGGCTTCACCGTCTGCGCCTACAACCGTACCACCAGCAAGGTGGACGACTTCCTCAACAACGAGGCTAAGGGTAAGTACACTCGATTGCCTTTTTCGCCTGCTATTTCAGAACCTTGCGGCTCCTATCAGCGGCGTCTGTAGGTGTCAGAATGCAATGTCTGCGCTCCTGCACATGTTACGAGGCCCAGGGAGAAAGGAAGCAAGGGACTGCTGGAAGAAGCCGAGTTCTGACATTCCCCCTTTTCCCTTTCTTCTCAACGATCTTTCCTCGGCTGATTGGGCTGCTTCAACCATGCCAATCTCGTCTTTCTCGCTTGCACTGCCTCTCCTCCTTGCCTAAATTGGTAGGCACCAACGTCGTCGGCGCCAAGTCCATCGAGGAGTTTGTTGCCAAGCTCAAGCGCCCCCGCAAGATGATCCTCCTCGTCAAGGCCGGCCCCGCCGTTGACGCTTTCATCGAGCAGCTCGTTCCCCACCTCGAGGAGGGTGACATCATCATTGACGGTGGTAACTCGCACTACCCCGACTCGATCCGCCGCTGCAAGGAACTCGAGGCCAAGGGAATCCTTTTCGTTGGCTCCGGTGTCTCGGGTGGTGAGGAGGGTGCCCGTCACGGTCCCTCGCTCATGCCCGGTGGATCCGACGCCGCCTGGCCCCACATCAAGGAGATCTTCCAGAAGACTGCTGCCCAGTCTGACGGTGAGCCCTGCTGTGACTGGGTCGGCCAGACCGGTGCCGGCCACTACGTCAAGATGGTCCACAACGGTATCGAGTACGGTGACATGCAGCTCATCTGTGAGGCCTACGACATCCTCAAGCACGGTCTTGGCCTCCACGAGTCCGAGATTGGTGACATTTTCGCAAAGTGGAACACTGGTGTCCTCGACTCGTTCTTGATCGAGATCACCCGTGACATTCTCAAGTACAACGACGAGGACGGCAAGCCCCTCCTCACCAAGATCCTCGACTCGGCCGGACAGAAGGGTACCGGCAAGTGGACCGCCATTAACGCCCTCGACCTTGGCCAGCCCGTCACCCTCATCGGCGAGGCCGTCTTTGCCCGATGCCTCTCGTCGCTCAAGGGCGAGCGTACCCGTGCTTCCAAGATTCTTGGCGGCCCCCAGATCAAGCCCTTCGAGGGCAACAAGGAGCAATTCATTGCTGACCTCGAGCAGGCTCTTTACGCCTCCAAGATTGTCTCGTACGCTCAGGGCTTCATGCTGATGCGCGAGGCCGCCAAGGAGTACGACTGGAAGCTCAACAACCCTTCGATCGCCCTCATGTGGCGTGGTGGTTGCATCATCCGATCCGTTTTCCTCAAGGACATCACCTCCGCCTTCCGCAAGAACCCCGAGCTCGAAAACCTTCTCTTTGACGACTTCTTCAACAAGGCCATCCACAACGCTCAGGAGGGCTGGCGTCGCGTGGTCGCTCAGGCCATCCTCTGGGGTATCCCCACCCCCGCTTTCTCGACTGCTCTTGCCTTCTTCGACGGTTACCGTCGTGAGCAGCTCCCCGCCAACCTCCTCCAGGCCCAGCGTGACTACTTTGGTGCGCACACCTTCCGCGTCCTCCCCGAGCACGCCAGCGCCAAGCTCCCCGAGGGCCAGGACATCCACATCAACTGGACCGGCCGTGGTGGTAACGTGTCTGCCTCGACCTACCAGGCATAAGCGTGTGCGCACTGCCCCGTGGAAAGCGCTCCGATTCCGTTGCTTGGCTTCATCAAGAGGATTTTTCTGACTGTACCAAAACCACTTCAAAATCTCTCTTTCTGATATGCTCCTACTGAATATGATCGAATAATCTCGAAGATTTGCTCGTGTGTGTGTGTGTGTGTGTGTGTGACAGAGAGAGAGAGAGAGAGTTGCTTGTAATGTGGCACAGAGCATGAAACGTGAGGAGGATGAGGAGTGGACACCTTGTCGCACCATGAGATCACAAACAGTCCTGTCTGTATCACACTGCTACGCGTTGCAAGTTCATAGTTGAGTCAGCCACAGGAGAACCGGAACTTTGCTGGACAGGATAAAGTTTAGTCAAGAGGATCTTTGTACGATCTAGATGGTTGTACGACTTGTTTTCGATTGATACGAACTTCTGTCCATAAAAAGAGAAGAAACAAACCCGAGAAAAAACGGTGAGAATATGGATCAAAAAAATTAAAGCAGATGCTGCTTACAGGGATCGAACCTGTGACCAACAGCGTTTGAACAACGAGTTGTAAAGCTGCTGCGCTAGCCACTGCGCCAAAGCAGCGAGATGTATATCGGGCCCGCTCCAACAAAAATACAAGAGCCCCATTTTTTCCTTTGAGACAAAGAGAAAGAGGCGAATTCAATTTCTGGATTTTTGTGGAATTTAGTTTTCAAACTTGTCTCTGTGCTTGTGCTACAGGAACAACTCCGTTTCAGCTCGGTTCGTCCAACAGTCTCAGCTTCCATGCTGTACAGGACGGCTAGCAGACGAGAGAAGAGCCTTTTTCCGTAGATCGATCCGCTTGAGTGCGGGGAAATCCTCTCTTCAAACGGTTGTCAGACGTCAGAGTTGATCAGAGACATGATCGCCTTACAGAGATGTGAATATACTGTAGTTGGAGATTGCATGGTGAAACGAAAGTCGCACGACACGTTTGAGCATGCAACACGAGGGCGGGACGGGAGCGCGCACGGACCTGCGGCACATGTCTGAGTGGGAAATTTTCGCTCACCTTACAGAGTGCAATGCCCGCTTGGGGCCAACGCCAAGCTTTTCAGAGAGCTGTCAAAGCTCTTCAGACATTACGCTCTCGTCGAGTTGAAAGCTTGAGCAGCGGTCATCTTGAACAGAGCGACCGTCACAGCCACGCAACATGAGGTCTGGGCCTTTCAACGCACAGAGCACACACAGCCCTCGCACACCTCAAATCAGAGCTCAGTTTCTTCATCACAGTTCTTCCCTGCAGCTCTACGCCCAATTGCACATACTGTACTGTACTGCAGCGAGCCTGGATTTTTTTCATGCCTGACGAAGCTTTGAAAGAGCGTCTACGTCTCCTCCGTCAAGGGTTGAAATCCGAGACGAAATCGACATCATCACCTACCGTTCCCACCTCCAACACACCGCCACCTGCGAACCCGTCTATTCCTTCAACTCCCCGTCAGACCGACAAAGCGACTGACGCGGATCAAGAACTCTTTCAAAGGCTTCGCAAGCTACAATCTTCCAATCCATCGCAATCGCACAAAACACCAGCAGCCTCTTTGCTTACCAGCAGAACGGTCCCGCAGCTCACCAAGTACCACGACGAACAGGAAGAGATCAACGCTCTCATCCAATCGACACAGGATCAGCTAGATTTGGAGCGATCCACCGGAGACAACGTGCTTTCTTCCTACGACGACGGCTCTGATCATCTATCAGACTCGGACCTGGAACGAGACATCGAAGCAGTCAACAAGGACGCTGCTGACATCGTCAACGCCGTTCGTGACCAACTTGACCTCGAGAGACGCTCGACTGTAGCACCTAATACTTTGCTTTCAGATTCAAACGTCACAGAAGAGACAGCTGAAGAAATGCAGCCCACCATGTTGAGCTCTGATCTCGAAATCGAAAACGCTCTGGCGGACGCCGCGCAGGACTCTGACTTCTTTGCTTCTGCCGATGCTTCCGTCGAGGATGCCCAGCCCGCACCCGCTGCAGCTGCCAACAAGGGCCGCCGCAACTGGCTCGGTGGCCGCTTCTTCTTTGTAGCCATGGTCAGCTTGCTCATCATCGCCCTCTCCTCGGTTCCGGGCGCCCACGCTTTCGGTGCCGGCAACATCCCTTCCTTTGCCTACATGGAAGGCAAGGCGTTCCGCCATGGAGACATTGAGGACATTCTCGAGGAGCTCGCCAAGAAGGTCGGTGGCTCGATTTTTGGTTCAAGCAAGTTCGGAGGCCTTGACATCAAACGCACCTACTTTGGTAATTGGCTTCGAGACTACAGTCAGGCGATGGACGTTGCTGCTCTGCAAAAGATGAGCAAGCAGGCCGTCCTCAACATTGTCATGGTGCTCGGCTTCTTGGCGCACGGATACGCGACTGCCGAGTTCCAGGTCACCGATGAAAGGCTCGGCGTGTACCTGCCCGAGGAACACCTCGACAACCCCAAGGGCTACGCTGATGGCAAGGACGCTCGTGAATTTGATCCTCGCCTTCGTGAGCCGGTCAATCCTCAGGAGCTCGAGATCGACCCTCGTTCCGGCATGAAGAACTACCTCGCCAACGAGAATGGTGGCTGGCGTACAGGATCCGGACTCGTCCGACGCACCCTCACCCGTGTCATCGAGACCGGACGTCAAGCACGTGAGACCGGCCGTGATGCCGATATGTACGAAGCATACCGCCTCCTTGGTCAGGCTCTCCACACGCTCGAGGACTTCCCCGCTCACAGCAACTGGACTGAACTCGCACTTCACCGTCTTGGTCATCACAACGTCTTCCTTCATGTCGGTGACAATGTCAAGGTGCGCGCTCCCGACGGCACCCAGATTGCACCCCTCGTCACCGGTACCTTTGGAAGTGCCGACTTCATGCACTCGATGTTGGGTGAAGCACAGGACCATCTCTCCGAAGCTTCCATCTCGGATCTCAACAAGGCCATCGACGATGCCAAGATGAAGTCGAGCGGCGGCAACCGCAGCCCTGTCCAGGATCTTCTTGGAATGCTCGCCAAGGTGCCCGGCGGTGGAGGCGACAATGTCTCGCGCGATCTTCAGGATGTGTCCCGCGGCCCTGCCTCGAATCCTGCCGACATGTCTCCCCAGGAGATGTACGCCAACCTCTGGAAGATCCTCGAGCTGCGTGACCGCATCATGAAGGGTATTGAAGGTACCATCGAGAAGATCCCCGGTCTCAGCTCTCTCGTCGAGAAGCTCACCAACGAGCTCAACATTTTCGTCTTCACCCTCATTGAGCCGTATGCTAAGCCCATCATGCAGCAAGGTATGAGCGCTCTTAAGCTCGGCTCCGGTGCCGTCATCAACAAGCAGGAGCAATTCGAGGTCTTTGACAACCCCAACGCCTCGGATCCCACCCACTCGATGCTCAGCAAGGACCACTTTGGTCTCATCCTCAACGAGGTCGCCGGCAACGTGGCCAAGATTATTGTCCGTCACACTGTCATCAAGATTGTCAAAGCTTGGGATGACCGTAGCATGGACCCTGCACACGTTGCTGACGAGTGCCTTGCACCCATGTTCCACCCGTACTGGTTTAACGGCAACGCGCAGGTGCAGAAGGACATGATGGATTACGTTGCCGACTGGGCGAGGAACCACTCTACCGAGATCGGACGCTTGAGCAAGCAGAGCGTGCGAAACCACACCAACACTCGCTCTGGTAAAGCTGAACCCCACTCGCATGGCGACGACCAGCCGAGCATGAGCTCCTTCATGGGTGGCGGAAATAGCCAGGCTGCGCATAACTTTAACAACAACCACCAGTACGGGGGTGGTGGAGGCTATGGCAACAACAATAACAACCACAACAATAACAGTGGAGGTGGAGGCAACAGCATTGGGTCACAAATGGCAGGCTATGCATCCAACTACGTCTCTAACCAAGTCCACGGATTTGTCGGTAGCCACGTACCCGGAGGCAACAACCTCTTCCGCGAGATGCCCGAGGGCAACGGTGGAGGACGCGAGTCTTCTTCCTCTGGTTATCCCGGTCGTCGTCCCGATGAGAATTCTGGATATGGTGGTCGCCACGAGCAATCATCGTCGTATGACAACGACAGACCTTCTTTCCCTCAAGCCGAGCCTACGGGACACGATCGATACGGTAGTCAAGAACACTCGAGCTACTCTGCTCCCGGCGGATATGCCCCTCCTGGCGGCCCAAATCCTCCTGGACAGGGTAGATATGGCGCTCCTCCGGGCTACGGTCAGCAAGGCTATGGTCAGCAAGGCTATGGTCAGCAGCAAGGATACGGTCAACCACAGCAGTATCCCCCACCTGGAGGCTATGGTCAGGGTGGCTACAACAACAACAACAACAACAATTACCAGCAAGGTGGATATGGTGGAGGATACGGTGGTGGATATTGATCGATCTCGGATTCGTTGTATGTACATTTTTGAGTGTATCGCTTTCACAGGTGAGCCTTGTAATCACATGAATTGTCCTCTTTTTCCGCTGCACACTGCCTGCTTGCTCGCTCGCTGAACTGATTGCGTGAGAAAAAGTGTGTTTGGCGGAATGCTAGAAAGACGTGCAATGGTCACCCGCTATAACGAAAGGAAAGCGATGAGATTTTGGAAAAGACGGGATGACCGATGAGACATTCGATGAGTTACACTGGAAACTGTTGGGGTTGCACTGGGAACGTCTTTGTTCTCTTTTCAAGAAAGTGAAATCAATTATAACGAGAAAGTTTCTTCTGGGACAAGAAGCAGGATGAGCAAAAGTCTTATCGTGCTTGGCTCCGCCTGGTTCCACAAACGCGTAACCCCCACTCAACTGAGTGTTGACCATACACAGGAGATTCAAAACAGCTCACTTCTCCCACCCAAAACTTGGACGAGCTACAAATGCATTGAAATCGATCAAAGTACACAAAAAAAAAAGAAAAGAAAAAGAAGAAGAAACAGAAAGGTATCACAACTTTGAAAAAAGCAGCCTCAAGCAGTGGGCAAGACGTGATCATCATCAGCAGCAGTGTAGAGATAACCCTCTGAGCTCAATTCCTCGACGGCATTCTTGACCTCGGACAATTCTACACCCTTAAGCTTCCTTGCGATGAGAGCGACGTGTACACCATCGTGATGATTCTCGGCTTCCGAAGTTACGATACTCATAATCTGACGTGGAAGCGGGTCGAGACTCTTGTACTGATCAAGGACGTTTTGATTGTTGGAGCCAGAGTATGCGTTGATGTCACTCGTCTGCATCGCCTGTCCACGGTCCAGACCATGGGCAGCAGCACCGCCATTGGCCTGAGACGATTTGACTCCTCGAGTGAGCTGCAGATGCGCATGGACCGCTTCGAGTCGGTGGAACATGACCTCGTTGTAGTCGACCACCGGTCGCATGTGGCCGGCAGAGATGGAACGTCGGTTTTGAAATGACTTGAGGGTGCCGAGAACTCGGACGTAGACGTTTTGGCTGCGTGTTCGGAAAGATGGATTGTGATTCCCTTGTGGTCAGTACATGTTGCGATGCTTCCGTGATGTGTTTCCGCAACCTCTCCGCAAGGTCTTTCGAGACATGTCCCCACTGTTCCAGTGCTACAG